ATTTCACGTGTAACATTCGCGCACTCTGAATCACAACTGAGCTGATGTTTGCGAAACCAATGCAGTAATCGAGTACCCGCTCGCTCTTTCCTACAGCCCACATATGAGTCACGGATGTCAGTCAAACAAATCCTACAGCCCATCGCCTTATCGCGCTCCCTCCTCCCCGCGGAGAAACGTAGACCCCACTCACAGGGCCGGAGAACTCGGAACCGAACAGTATGTGATTGTTGACAGACACAGATTGTTGACAGTTCGGTGATTGTTGACACATGTTTCTCTATTACGCGCTAAATTTGAATGTGTTATCAAAATTGCGCCATTACCCTCTAGTTTTTTTAAGTCGCGAAAAAACATCGTAAAACTGTAAATTGTAAATTTCATTGTGGTTATTCGCAGTTTTAAAAAACACCTGGAAGGTGAAGGCGCAATTCCGGCTTTAGATTCGGACTGAGCGCGTCGACATACTTGGAGCAACACGTGTCAAGTCTTTCTTCCTAATGGCGCCAACTGCCTTCGCCAGAACGGGGACACGCCGCTGCACTGGGCGTCGCTGAACGGCGAGACGGAGTGCGTGCGCGCGCTGCTGGCGGCCGGCGCCAGCCCCGGCGACCGCAACAAGAAGGGCAAGACGCCCGCGGACGTGGCGCGCTCCGACTCGGTGCGCGAGCTCTTCGACGCCGCCGACGACGTCCTCAAGACCTTCCGCCACCCCGGCGACCCCTGACGCCCCCCCCTCCCGTGCTCAACTGTCCTCCGCGGGCTAACGCACCCATCCACTAAGCCACGAGACCACCACCAGCTACGCTACTAATCGACCAACCAACTACCACCAGATCACATACTAATCGATCAACCAACTAAGCGACAAGTCGATCGCCAGGTAACATACTAATCGATCAACCGACTAAGCGGAAAGTCGACCAACAGATAACCTAATAATCGACCAACCGACTAAACGACAAGTTGACCACTACCAGATAACCTACTAATCGACCAACAAACTAAATAAGTCGACAACTTGATACCTACTAATCGACCAACCAACTAAACGACAAAATGACCTCCCAATAACTTACTAATCGACCAACAAACTTAGCGATAAGTCGACCACCAGATACACTACTAATCGACTGACTAAACGACTAACCGACCACCTAACTAAAGCACATTCTAAACATTCGTTCGGACAATCAGCCAGCAACAGACTGACCAACTGATTGATAGTTTGAGCGCTTCACTAACGAAGTGAATTGGCGATTAATCGACCCACGGAACAGTAAACCACAAACTATTCTACGAATTGAGACAACTCGACTTATCGACCTCCTTAGTAACTTCCCAATCAACCTGCAAAAGACTGACCAATAGACGAGTGACATGCTGACCGAGCGACTTGCTAACCGAGTGACTGACTGACTACTCGACCACACACTAACGTACGAATCGACAAATCCACTAAACGTCGTGTCGACAATGCCGACCGTTCGGTATACAGAGGGTATCCTTTCGCGTTCCCAAGCTACCAACCGGACAGCAACAGACTGACAAGCTCACTGGCAGTCGTTCTGTCCGAGCAACCTTCTGAAGGAGTAACTTGCTTATCGATTATCTTTTTGATCACGAGAGGGAAAAGACGCAAACAATGGCAAATAACATGTTGCAAAATAAAGTATTTCTCATGAGAATAATCACTCTACTTATATTTGAATCGAAGAAAAGAAAAACTTACGATGTCAAGGTGCTTCAAATTTTGGAGAGTAAGCAAAAAGGTTCGGAGTTCAGGACATCGATACATTTTTATTAACATTAATAGTTGAAGGACACTCTGCTGATGTCATAGAGTATACAGACAACGAATTTTTATTCACAGAAAATTGTATTTATATTTTAAGAACAGTTTCTCACCGTTAACGCAAAACCGGTATAATGTGACACCGAACCTTTTTGTTTGCATAGATTAATTTGTTTTTATAGCACATATTTTATAATATGTATTATGGTGATCTTAATTTAAGCATTAATATTTTTCCGCTTCCACTATTCTCTACATTTAGCATAAAAAGAACTCAGCTATTCACATTTTATTAACGAAAAAGCAATAAATAATATAAGTACACAAAATTAATTGGATTCATTTTTTTCGTGTTGATGATTTACCTATGTTAATTAATAATTTACGAATTAAGTGCTTGAAAATATATTATATCGCGAATATATACTATTTTTAATCACGTACCCTTGAAAAGGGAGGCCAGGATAGGAAGATCAGGTTCGGGCGTGGCCCGTTTGTGAGGGCACTGCCCCGGAATTTGCCTTATATTGATCGGGGAAACTACGGAAAACTCCCGATCAGAGCAGCCTCTAGAATTCTCCTTTAGATAGCTTCTGATTTCAACATATGTTAAATATCCTCTACGGTCAGGACTTGAAACCTAGAAGATCCCAGTTTGAGACGCTCCAGCGGAAACAGAGTTAGTCACAAATCCAAAAGTGAAAATCAGCTCTCGGGGAAAATGCGAAGAGCTACATAAGTCCGAGTAAACGATTGATGTCCTCCTGTTGGTGGAAAGATACCGCATCAGAAACGGAATTAGGAAGTTCCCCAAAGAGATATTAGAAGTGTACTGCTTCTGGTGTAAGAAAAAGACTCGTTTAATCAATAGTTTCAACATTATGAATATAAGGAGTTTCGGTAGAACAAAAATTCTCTTGAATAGAGCTGACTTATGTATTTGGACATACCCTCAGTTTAGTTGCATCTTACGCTATTTTCGTGTTTGAAAGAAATATTTCCTTTTTTTATTCTCATGTATAGGTGTTATATAGAGAGAGATTTACGCAAGACTGCGAAAAAATGATGTCAAGATTTTTAAAAAATAGATGTTTTAGGAATCTGTTACTCCGAAAAGTTTTTTTCAAAAAGCGTCTGTGTAAGCATGTCGGATTTTATACCATGGATACAGATTTTCCCAAAATGAATATCCCTAAGCACTCTAACCCGAATTGAGACTGAATAGACCGAAACCCAAATGGTATCTCCGACTCAAAAGAACAGTAAACAGAACAGTAGTTTAAGAAAGTCTTGTCATTTTGTAGCGCCAGTAGTTGGACTCATAATCATGGACTCACGTACCATAATCATGATTATTATAACATTGTTTTTCTCACTAATAAAAGAAAAAAATAGCACATGCTTTTATAAAGTAAACCAATAACAAAACAATATTTTTTTTACTTCTTATATTTTTCTCTAGTGATTTTTTTATGAATTCAATAAAACGGGAAATGGTGGAGTTCAAGAACATTGAACGATACATGTGCATTTAAGCGTTGACAAAGGGCCACAAAAATATTTTTATTTACAAAGATGTCATACATTTTTGTTTACCTCTAATGAAATTTACAGGATTACATGGAACATTTCAACAACTACTTAACTGGCCCCTAACGAAAAAGAACAAAATACAATTCAGTCCATGATTCTGAAGTCACTCGAAAATTCTAATGTACGTCTGTACTTTTTACCTTTGTTTTCATCCAATTTAGAAGTTACATTGTTGTTCTATTGGATGACCCAAATGACTTGTCTGACTCGTGTAAAGCATTCGTGAGCAATCTTTCTTACGGAACCTACGGTAACCTTTGAACAGAATGACTTAGGATAAATGTTAGTAATTTAGGATGATATACGAAGGTTTCCAAGATCAATTTTTTTCTGCTAAATATGCCCTGATGTAAAGACAACCCATGAATTTTCACAGGTTACGTTCTAATGCAATATAAGATTTCACTAACCTGCCAAAAATCTGTAACAATCCAGTACAAATATAACATGCGTCTCTTATGTAAACTTTTCCACAAGTTAGTAGGCAAATGCTAACATATTGGACTCCGCTTCATATGCTGGGAAATTTTAAATGAGATAGCTACATATGTGACATGTATGTGACATATGTGTCCCTGATTGGAAGGAAACCCACCATGCTTTGGTTTTTGGGAGGTTACGATCTAACGCAATCAAAGAGATTTCACGAATCTGCGAAACATTGGTACTTACGCGGTGCAGAGCAATCACGGTGCATTGCTATTTTGGATATAACGCAATAAAAGAGATTTAATGAAGCTACGGAACATTTGTTCTTACCAGTGTCTAGCAACGAGGGGCAAGTGTCACATGTTCATGGAAAAATTTGATCACCTTGGACAACGCTACATATTTTCGAAGTTAGTAAATTGTATCTCAGACACAGGCACACACTAACATAGCATCGATCGATTGATTCATTGATTGATTTGTGATTCCGGGCGCATCAACTGCTAAGGTAATTATACGCGTACGTGTAGTGCCTGCTTTTATCATAAGAGGTGACGAAGATCATCTCCCTGCGGGATGACGAAATCAGGCGTCGACTTATATGTTGGCTTGCTGATTTCCACAACCATGTATCTCCCATCAGCACCGCTCCAGCTGCGACAAAATCTAAGCCCTCGACTGGTCTCTTCGTATGTGTGGTAGTGTGGTGCATTTGAGTGTAGTAAGAGATAAGGATAGGACACGGAAGGAGAGAGGGTGATTGTGCGCGGTCCGTGGCCCGTTTGTTAGGGAACTTCTCCGGCATTCTCCTAGTGTTGATCGGAGAAATCACGAAAAGCTACCTATCAGAGCGGCTGGTCTGCTGAAGAATTTTCCACCAGACAGCGGCTGAATACGGCCTATCCACTGTGTCAAATATTTTGCCACTGTCAGGGCTCGAATACTAGGAACTCCCGTTCAGAAGCACTGCAGTTAATGCCCTGAGCCTCCTTTGCCCCTGCCCAACTGCGTATTCTCGAATATAGTGACATGTATTGTGAGACACACGCACATATTCTAACAGAGCATCGAGTAGATTTCTACTTACCAACAATTATTCGTCGAACGTCCTCGACTTTAGTCATCTCCAACGGCGTCTTCCCTTGCTTGTTCTTCAAGGAAGCGTTCGCGCCGGCGACCACGAGCGCTCTCACGCACTCCGCCCTCGTGAAGAAGGACGCTCTGTGAAGCGGCGTGTCCCCGTTGTAGTCACGCGCGTCAACCAGCGCCCCGCGGGCGAGCAGTTCTCTCACGCACTCCGCGTGCCCGTTGGCAGCCGCGTGCCACAGCGCCGTGCGTCTATCCCAGGTGTAGACGTCCACCCCCACCCCCGACTCCAGCAGCGCCACCAGCGTGCCCAGGCGGCCGTCGGCGCCGGCGGTCACCAAGGCGAAAACGCCCGCGGGCCCTTGCACCACCGATGGAACCGCGTCTTCGAAAATGGAGACGACCTGCGCCGTTTGGGCCACGCTCAACGCCAGCTTCACTTGCTCCAGGTTGGAGGCGGCTCCGGCGCTCAGGATCCGACGCACGGAAGCCAGGTGGCCGCTCCTGGCAGCCAACATCAGCGCGCACTTTCTCGGATCGTTGCTCTTCGTGGCGGAAGCGCCGCTCTCCAAGAGCAGCTCCACCATTTCCCAGCGTTCGGTTTCCGCTGCTTGAACCAAAAGGGTCTCTCCTTTCTCGTTGCAAGCGTTCGCGGAAACACAATTTTGCTGCAACAAGAATTTGACTGATCGCAACTGACCCTTTGTAACTGCTGTACTGATTGATAGCTTGGGTCGAGCGCCGCGATGCAAAAGCAGATATGCTACGTCCATGAATCCCTTTTCCACCGCGAGAATCAACGGGGTAGCTCCGTCGTGATCCAACTCGTCGATCGTCGCTCCGGCGTTCAGGAGGCGTGCGGTGACTTCCAAATGACCCTCATTAGCTGCGCAGTGGAGAGGAGTACGCCCATGCTGGCCACTGGAGTTCAAGAGCACGGTAAATTCTATGATCTCTAAGATGGCGCTGACAACTTGTAGGTGCCCTTGCGCAGCAGCTACGTGTAGCACAGAGTCGCCGTTGGCGGTGAGCTGGGAGAGGATGAGAGATTTGGCGCCGTGGATTTGTAGCAACCAGCGAAGGCCCTCCGCGTCCCCAAGCGTCGCCATGTCGAGAGGCGACGGAGGGGGACTAGCTGGGAACCCAGATGCGCTGCAAGATTTGCATATTTCTCTCGGGAAAGGGGCATCCTCATTACGCAGAAAGAGTTTATGTATTTTGTTGACTGATTCTTCGATGCGAGATATTCTAGATTCCATCTGTTCCATCTTGGAATACACATCTTCAAGGTTTCTACTCATTCTTGTAGCGATGGTTGAAACTCTTATTTCTGCAGAGTTGATATAACCTAGAAGACAATAAATATTACCATAAGCCATAACATTTAATATAATTGAAAACGCAGCGCCATTTTTGTTATTGTGAGTTTCTCATAAAACAGGATTTATGCCATAAAGTGTTTTCATGCCACTGTTATTACAGTGAGGTTCATGTAATAATTGTATAAGTAAGTGTGTCTTCAATTTTTTAAACGTTAAAAGTATTTACGTTATGTGACGTATGTGGGAGAAATTTAATCTCCATCCTTCCCTTGGACCCGAATAGTACGCCTATAAGATTTGCGCAGGTCCAATATTGAATTATCTGAATTTTCGAAAATTAAAAATGTGTAATTTTTATATTATTAATAATTTTTCGGTGTCTTCCTACAACTACAGTAATTAATTTTAAAAATTGTATTCAAAACTATATATTTTCTGGGATCTTACAAAACTTTTCAAAATATGAGTAGTGTTTGCGTAATTTTAGGTACAATAAAGGCAATTTAAAAAAAAAAGATTTTCTCAAAAACGGTTCCAAATTTTTCTTGAAACTATTTGCACGGATAGTGCTCCATGTACTGAATTCTCTCTCTCATCGTTAAGATTTACATTTCGGGCGGTTTGTATACTACACTTTTGTAGTTTGTTTACTACACTAGCGAGTTAGCATGTTTCAAATGATTCCTTAGAAAGATTCTCGAAACCTCTTAAGTTTTCTATGAAAAATCAGTATACAATTGCGAATTTTCAAAACGCTCAGAGGACATTGCCTCAAGAAATGTTTCAAATGTTTCGATAAAAAAATGCTTTTATGACTAAGTTTTATTCTTATATAATATTCTTTAAGTCAAAATTGATTTCTACTATTAGGGAGCCAACAAATGAAAAAAAATGAAAAAATGTAGGTGGGTACTGGGAAGAGGAGGGGTAATACCGAAAGTTTAAATTGACTAAGCAATAAAAAAGCTTGCTTTCGACGATTTGAAAACTAACTAGCGCGATGAAGTCTGTGCCGTTCTATAACACCACTAGTATAGTTTTGCTAACAGAATAGTAACACGTACGACTGTACTCTTACCATGCGCATCAAAAGCTCCATTTACGTCCAGAAGCAAAACCAGCGAACAATTTAGAATAATTACGCTGCTTGTACCAAAGATCAATGATTCCATGATACCAACGCTCACACAGTTGCCGTTTCCGGAAGGGATTAAACTGTAGGAATTTTATGGGAATTCGCGTTTGTCACCTTACCGTCTTATTGTTTAGAAATACAGGCCATGCGGTACAGATTAGTCTCCATGGAACTCTACCATAATTATTCATTTCAATGACATAAATTAAAACTACTATAATCTTTATTATATCACACTATATTATTACTCAGGGTTTGTATTTGTCACTTCCGCTAACAATTTGCATGTCTAACCATCGTTCATCAATTAATAATCACGGAGCGTCCATAAACATAAAGTTAAAAATAATAGCAATAATAACAATAATAATGTCCTGCACAAATACATCTTTTTGCGAACTCTTAGTGTTATTTAATAAATGATACACTAATCACATTCAATTATAGTTTTTCCCTGTCCGAGCTAATTTCCAGAACAGCCAACCCGATTTGGATTCAGTTTCCACTGAAGGGTATAGAATTTCTCGACCGTTGTTTATGCAGCTGTTAAGGATTAATAGTTTGTTAAAAAGCTCTAATTCAAAAAACCTTTTAATTGAAATTTATTTCACGAAATACGTCTTATAAAACTCTACGTTAAATTATTATGTGGCAGTGCTTTCAATTTTTACAAGAAGTGCCGGATCATAAATCCCGCTGCGCCCGAGATCCTCGTACGCCTGTCGCACGTGACAGACTTCTTTACACGCATGTTGCACGAGAGATACGAAACGTTACAATGGTAAAGGTGCATTATACAATCTCACGGCCAGAATTCCTCAGTTCGATAGTCCGAAGATAAAGCTGCCGCATACTGCGGTGAAGGATGGAAAGTCTACGAACAAGGAGAGATTGATGAAAACGTTAAGGCGGTTGGCAACCATGAAATTTTGAATCAGGAATTCCGATGCCGAGGGAAGCGTATAGACAGGCAGGTGTTCGGATACAACAGGGGTGGCCAACCGCAGTTCGCGCTATCACTTAACTCTTGTTGATTCACGACTATGTAGTTCAATGTTGGAGTTTCAGATGATAAGATTTGGTTATTTTGTGAGATCAGAGTAATTAAAACAATTAACTACTTAAGTTTCTCAATGTTATGGAATATTTTGTTCCATTATAAAGCCTCGTGACTAGTATAACTAGTGGTGCACCAACGGCACATACTTCCTCGCAATATTGTTAATGGTTATGTAATATAATGTGACAATTTCTGTCCTACACTTCAGCTACCATTTGAAAAATTCCTAAAGAAAGGAATCGCGAAATATAAATCCTTTTTTATTTCAAACGTTTAAACGAAAACTACTTTCAGCCATTGATTTTAGTGTATTTGCTTTCTATATTAATATACCGACAATGCCTGGTGCGCATTTTAGCCGTATAAAAAAATCATCAGTTTACAATAACGCGAACTAGCGCCACCGTCACTGCCGCTTTCTGTTATCAGTGCGGCATAATCAAAGTTACAATGGCCGTTCGATTCGTATGGCATACACATTTTGCTAATCAATAGCCCTGCAGATACCACAAACAACAAAAAGTAAATTGATAGAAAAATATAATATTTAATTTTAAAATTGATATATCCCTTTCAGAACCACACGTTTGAAAATAATATTTCAGTTTTCTTTTTCATAAATTTGTTAAAATTTCTATTAATAATGGTTCAAAAATGGCTTTGGAGACCAATAATTATATTAATTTCTCTTTACTTATTATCACAAAGGAAATAATACACCTACATAATTGTGTAGGTTAGTCCTTCTTTTATTTGTAGAAGCATTGATTTAGTTATTTTGTTACAATTATTCCTTGAAAATGGAAGTTGAGGAATAATGAAATAAAAAAAATATTTCAGAAAGAAATAAATTTATTATTATTATTATTATTATTATTATTATTATTATCATTATTATTATTATTATTATTATTATTATTATTATTATTATTATTATTATTTAGTGTGAAAGCAGTTTTTTCTTTTTGAGACACCCGACATTTCTTTCAATGAACTGTTGTCACTGAGGCAGTTTTTTAAATGAATAACTGGTTGTTGTCAATTTGTCTATTGTTGGGCAATGGTCATATCTAGGGGCGGATCTTAATGAAATATATTTTTATTCTTTTCACTTTAGAAGAATGCCGTTTAGTATATAAATGCATTTTGTGTTATGACAAAACGAAATGTCTCATTTTTACAGGTCATTATTTACATTTTTCTTCGATAATAAGTCATTTTTTACATTTTCATGTCATTTTAATGCATTTTTCTCTGATATCGTCGATTTAATATAATTATGACGCCACTTGCTTCAAACAATATTTACGAGGTACAACGAATTCCTGAGTAGCATATTTGATTTATTCGCTCATATATTGAAATGTCAGTCCCTGTGAGTACTCTGTGTTCGAAAGTTCCTATGACGCCTGTCGCCACAATTGTCAGTATCGTGATAAAGAAAAGAGATTTACTTTTAAAGAACTATCCACACCAAAAGTTTGCAAACGGAGTTCGTTTGAACAAAAGGAAGACGCTTCGATTACATCAGTTACATACCCAACAGATTGAGTTGTTCATCTGAAGAGGTGTGATCAATTTGATTACGTCATTTTTCTTTGTTTTCAGGGCATTTTAAAGCATTTTAAGAGCATTTTATTTAACAGTGTTTTAGAACATCAAAATCCGCCTCCTAGTCATATCTATGTTCTCTAATCTGCTTCTGGAAGCGGTGACAACCAATTCTGGGGTTTGAGTGCATCTTTTGTAATGTAAAGTTTTCACAGGACTGTAGCAGAACTATGGATGATGATCCTAATGTTTTCACTCTTTGTTCTACACTTGAATATATAGACTATGTGCAAGACATATAAGACATTTATGTATAAGATATTAAACTTGTATTTTTATAAAATTATACTGAGTTCAATCTTCTTGCACCTTTTCCACTTCTTTTTACGCATTGCTTAAAACGTTTACGAGTGTCTCGCATTCAGAAACCTTCTTTATAAATTCACAAAATAAAATATTTACGAACAAAAATATTTTATTCTTAATTCTTTCCAAAAATGGATTCTTGGCCAAAAATGTTAAGTATAATATAACATTTGTATTACTAACTATGGTATGCATTGCATATATTTCACTTTTATTGTGGGGAAAATTGGATTTAAAAATACTAAAAAATACGATGGGTCCCTCCTCTAATTTTTTTTATTTCCTCTAATTAAACCAACAATGAACAATATTCTCAAAATTACTTTTCTGTATTACGAGTGTCTTTTATTTCTATAAAAGTCTCGAAATCGATTTTACACATTACATTACTTTCTCTTATACTTCGTATATACATACGAATGCGGAAAGTAAAACAACAAAACATCCATTTATTTCGTAAAAGTGTCAATCAGCCTCAAGAATGCACGTCACTAATTACCAGTTGAAACGTTTTGAGATTGGGTCTTACTGAAAAATTATCAAAAACAGTAAATGATGTAGATCTGCATAAATAATATATGTTCAACTCTGGTCAGCGCTTTGCAAGAAGGCGAGACCTCGTCCTCGCTTTCCTTTGTGAGTATAAATCAGTTCCTAGCAATATACTGCTGATGGGGTGTCCAAGTGAAGAAGTTATGGTTGCTTCGTTAAAACCTTTACCCTTTGGATCTGCAAACACTCGCGCAAACCTTGCTTCGGGTTGCGCTACGCCCACCACTGTATCCACCTATGCCTAGGCTTTTACTAACGCTCCTTTTCCACATATGCCTACGCGCTCACCTACGCGTAAACACACGTCTACGCCTACGTTTTTGTTTACGCTTACATCCACGTCTTCAACTCTTCACACAACT